GGGCTGAGCCGCACGGCTTCTCCTTCCTCCTCCCGCCTGCCGCTCGTTCCCGGAGCCTGGATTGATCTGGTCGCGCTGGCGTCAGGGAGTCGGAGCCGCCCAGCCTCCACTCCTCGGCTGCCAATACCCTGCGCACTCGCCCGCCCGCCCGCTTGCTCACACGCGCACCCGCGCGCCGCCGCCACCGCACGACCAGGGATCCTCTCCAAATTCTTGGCCGCGCCGGCCCGAGCGCGGACCGCGGGGGGAGCGGCCCCCGCCCCATAGAGTCCAAGGATTAAAAACTCTTCGGCGCGTTCTGACTTCCCTCCCGCTGCCTCCTTTAGTCCCCGCCAGCGGACTTGGCGCATTATCTGCCAGGGAAGTTCTTTGTCAGTGTTTATTTTCTGAAATGCTCATCCACAGGTCCACCGCGCCCAGCGGAACCTACTGTAAACGTGAAGCGCATGGACGGCAATGATCTTTCCAGAGTCGCCTTTTTCTGTCTAGTTTTCATTGCCCCTCACCTATTCCCCAATGATTTGCAAGTCCCAGAAGGTGCACATATCCGGAATTGGACAGCCTCGTAATTGTTGCATGTGCTTATGCCAAACCCTGAATCCATACATGTGTTCTGTGCCATTTTGGGGGATCTAATGATTCCAGTAGGTAACCTCGTTGCTCCAATTAATGACAGATGCCACAATAGCACTCTAAATTTTTGATCCCATTTCTACAGTCTTTTCGATGATACCCTTCTTCCCATTAAAAACAAACTAACTCTCATCTACCTGATCAGCATAGACACTGAAAATACCTTTTTGTTAAGACTTGATTTTTCTCTTGGCCAGCTCTCTGGAAGCTGGCATGAAATCTTGGAGAGTTACCATAATGTTGAGTTATGTTTAGAGACGAAGTATTATTCTGAGGAATAAATTTTACATGAACCACAAGAATCATTACCACCCAAACAAAGAAAATATCAGACATCTGTAAATTAATGGTACTCTCCAGTTGTTCATACATGTTTCCATGTCCACATTACATTTGAAATTCTTACTTATTATTTCTGCTTTCCAAGTTTAATTATCGAAAGAAAATGCAACACATCCCATAAAACACAAATACTGTTTATAAATTATAGATCAGAATATTTCTGCTAATTCCTTCATTAAACTATTTGAGCACTTACTAGTTAACTCTTAGGCCTCATCTTATTTTTCCTAAAAGCAACATTTAACACAGTTCATCATTCGCTGCTCCTTCCAACAACAGCTGGAGTGAACCTTGTTAAATGCCACTCTGATCAGGTCACGCCTCTGCTCAAAACACTCCCTTGATAAATAGAAGGTGCTATCTCCATACAATGGAACACTATTCAGTCATAAAAAGGAATGAAGTACTGACACATGCTACCTGTATAAACCTTAAAAAGCTTATGCTAAGTGAAAGATGCCAGAAATTGTATGCTTTCACTTGCTGTATATACAAAATCCAGAACAGGCAAATCTGTAGAGACAGAAAGAATGGTAGTCGCCTATGTTTGCGGGGATGGGGGAAGTAAGATAGTGGTTTCTTTTTGGGGGTAACAAAAATGTTCTAAAATTAGTTTGTGATGATGGTTGCGTAATTCTGTGGATATACTGAAAACCACTGAATCAGACACTTCACATGGGTGAATTATATGGTATGTGAATTTTAGTTCAATAAAGCTATTTTTTAAAAAGGCATGCCAGCCCCAGCTGGTTTGGCTCAGTGGATAGAGCGTCAGCCTGCGGACTGAAGGGTCCCAGGTTCGATTCCAGCAAAGGGCACAAACCTGGGTTTCAGGCTCGATCCCCAGTGGGTGATGTGCAGGAGGCAGCCAGTCAGTGATTCTTTCTCATCATTGATGTTTCTATCTCTTTCTCCCTCTCCCTTCCTCTCTGAAATCAATAAAAATATATTTTAAAAAAGAAAAAGAAAAGGCATGCCAGCCTGGCCAGCATGGCTCAGTGGTTGAGCATCTACCTCTGAACCAAGAGGTCACAGTTCAATTCCCAGTCAGGGCACATGCCTGGGTTGCAGGTTGGATCCCCAGTGTGTGGGGCATACAGGAGGGCAGAGGATCAATGATTCTTTCTCATCATTGATGTTTCTCTCTCTCTCTCTCTCTCTCTCTCTCTCTCTCTCTCTCTCTCTCTCCTTTCCTCTCTGAAATCAATAAAAAATATTTTTAAAAAATAAATAAATAAGGCATGACATCTAAATGCATTGTATGATCCTTGAGTGGATCATGAATTGAGAGGGAAAACTATAAATTGACATTATAAAACTGTTAAGTTTTAAACCAATAGATGATCTTTTTTAGTGCAATCCTGGTAGCCCCAAATGATAATTATTAACACTCCAAATGCTATGAAATTTGATCTTGCCCCTTGTACAAGTTATTTCTTTTTTTAAATAAATATATTTTTATTGATTTCAGAGAGGAAAGGAGAGGGAGAGAGAGATAGAAACATCAATGATGATAAAGAATCATTGATTGTCTGCCTCCTGCACTCCCCACATGGGATTGAGTCCACAACCTGGGCATGTGCCCTAAATGGGAATTGAACAGTGACCTCCTGGTTCATAGGTCAATGCTCCACCACTGAGCCATGCTGGCTGGGCTATTTCTTTAAATAGTAATAGAAAACTGGACTTTTTAAAAACAAAAGGACATTATTGGAACAATTGTGAAAACTTGAAAGTGGGTTGTATATTAATATTATGTATCAAAACAATAAAATCTTCCCTTGGCTCCCCATTTCACTCAAAATACAAGTTCTTACAATGCCTACAGGGCCCTACATGATCTTTCCTGCTTTACCACTCTGCCCTGGCCTCCAACTGTCTCCCTTGCTCACTTCCACAGTCATCCTGGCCTCTTCACAGGTCCTGGAACCACCTGTGCACACTGGCACCTCCGGACCTTGGCACTAGCTGTTTCCTCCCCTGCAAGTCCTTCTCACAGATGCTCACATGGCCCCTGTGCCTTTCCTCTCTCAGGTCTTCACTCAAATGTTCCTCTCAATGAGCACTACTCTAGTCACTCTATCTACAATTTAACACACACCCCACACACCCCTCCAAAACCTAAACACTTCATATCCTCTTTCCCTGCTCGGCATGGATGTTTCACTTGTCACTACCTAACTACTTAGCCACAAGAGCAGGATTCTGGGTCTGTTTTATTCATTGCCATATCTCAGTGCCTAGAGCAGTATCTGCCACCTATAGGAGCTCGTCAAATACCTGTTGGATGAATGAATCAAGCACTGTTTAAGTCATAGGGGCTATGGTGGCAAATAAAACAGATAAAAATCCCTGCTTTCATCACAGAAGACAAATAATGAATAAATACAGCCATGTATCACATAAGGACATTTCTGTCAACAAGGAACTGCATATACAACAGGTGGTCCCATAAGATTATTATGGAACCGAGTCCTGGCTGAGTGGCTCAGTTGGTTGAAGCATCATCCTGTACACCAAAAGGTTGCAGGTTCGATTCCTAGTCAGGGCATATACCTAGGTTTTGGGTTTGATCCTTAGAGCACCTACAGGAAGCAACTGATCAATGTTTCTCTCACATCGATGTTTCTCTTTCCTTCCTCTCTCTCTAAAATTCACATATCCTTGAGTGAAGATAAAAAATAAATAAATAAAAATAAAGATTATAACAAAACCCAAAAATTCCTATCCTATATAATAAAGAGCTAATATGCTAATTAGACCAGATGGCAGAACAACCTTCTGGAAAGACCTTCCGGAATGACCAGTGGGTGGGGGCAGGGCCACGGGGCCATGAGGCACCAAGATAGCTCAATCTTGGTGACATAGCCACAGACCCCCTGAGAATGGAGAGGGTGGAAGAGATACTGGAAGCTGGAAGAGAGAGGAGCAGATACGAAGCAGTTTTCTTCTGGGAGAGTTTGAGAGCATATGAACTTTGGAAGCATGGTCAGCCTGCCAGGCAGCGCTTTTAAATGTCTATTTGAGGTTAGTGATCATGAATGTAAAGCAAGACCAGTCAGCATAGTTGTGGATTTTTCTCCAGACTCCCCAGCCATTGGGGGTAAAGCTGGGTTTAACCAGGGCTGGGTTTTGCAGGAGGGCGTGATAGAGAAAAAGAGTGTTACAGAGCAGAGGGTGTAAGCAAGGCAGTGACGGTGGGGGACTGTGATAAGAAAGGAGGTGAGAACAGAAAGGAGTGGAGGACGATGGAAAAGTGATGGGATCAATGGATTGAAGGTCCCAGTAGGGTCCAAAACCCTAGCTGCTTTGGCTCAGTGGATAGAGTGTCAGCCTGCGGATTGAAGGGTCCTGGGTTCGAGTCTGGTCAAGGGCACATGACCGGATTGCGGTCTCCATCCCCAGTAGGGGATGTACAGGAGGCAGCTGATCAATGATTCTGTCTCATCATTGATGTTTCCATCTCTCTCTCCCTCTCCCTTCCTTTCTGAAATCAGAGCACATACAAGAATCAACCAACAATTAAATATATATATATATAA